CACCCTGGTAAGCAAACCGTCACGTCCGAAGCGGCTAATTGGCTGGATTACCTGGATGCAGTCCCGGAAGTTAAAACTAATTCGATATGCACCTCCGCATTTGACGCGTTCATCGGGGACTAGGCTATTCGAATGATTATGCGGTATGTATCCTTCAAACCTCTGGATATCCTGGATCTCCTTCATTTTTGAGTCTTTGTTCAGAGCAGATCATGCATGCGCCTAGCCTGTAGTGGGAAGAAAGCGGAGGAGATGGTGTGAAGGTGGAGGGGGGGGGTGATTATGGCTGTTGTGAAGCCCAGCTGGGTCGGATCTTATTTCATAGCCGCACATACAGTAGACAAGCCCCAGCCTAACCTCTAAATCCAACCCCTAACTCTTAACCCCAACCCGAACCCCTAACAGGTGCGACTACGAAATAAGATCTTGCCCCTAGCTGTGAACAGATCATCCAAGAGTGCCTTGTGTTTTCTAATGACGTTCAAATAGGGGATCTGAGTGGCACATGAAAGATATTTGTAGCGGGTCAAGTTCAAGTTGAACTTATTCACACGCAGTCCCTCGTGAGGTGAAGATTTATACGCAAAGACAACACAACACAGGTTCGTCCTGAGACTTCGGATAGCCATGACACAGTAGTCATCACATCTTTCATGCAAACTTACTTTAGTCCGGCCTGTCAAGCATATCCAGTACGAGCTCACTATAATGTCGACGAGGGGAGGGGGGTGCCGGTATTTTCTGTCGTGTACGGGCGACATGCTCAAACCGGAAAAAGGCAACCTGAGGCACAGAGGGAAACATTTGACTGCTGAGCGGGGTACCACCGTCTGAATACTGTACTTTGAGGGGAAGGGGCGAGTGAAACAGTAGTGAGGGGGGCGGTAGAAAACCAGACTAGATGGGGTGACGTCGTCAGGAGTCCTAGTAGGCACATTCCTAAAATGAGAGAAATCCCTAATGGTACCGTCAAGAGGAACGTGTCGAAGAGGGAATACTGCAGGTATTGTCGTAGAACTATCCCGCCACCGGCTAGTGACCCCGACGTGATCGAAAAATTACCGCCAGAATCAGCTGAGTTCAGTCGTCACAACATTCTCACTCGGCTTCCTCTTGCCGTTTTTCTTCTGTGTTAGTTGCTGTGCCAAAGAAAATGAAAACACAATTTCCGACCCCTCGAAGCGGCCGATATCAACCCAAATCAGCTACTCGATGTCAGGTCAAGACTCAAACAATAGTGTGTGAAGTGGTCACAAAACGACCCTCCTTCCTCCGCACTTTAATTTTTCCATTAACACGAAAAAATTGACATCACTTCGGACCTGTTCGTGCTGAAATTACCATCGCATGACTCAACACTTACGAGGACGCACTTCGCTGGACATGCTGTAAACTCTTCTAGTAAAATTCCAGCTTCCCAATACATGTTCATGGGAATGTGTCAGCACATTCTCTGGCTGTTGTTTCAACTGGACATCTGTACAGGCCGCAGCAACAGCCTTTGCTGTCTGACTGAGCAGTTTCATCCCAAGGGACGCACGCCTTCCAGCCGAAATGTTCACGGGCCCACTGTCAAATCCCTCATTCCGCACGCAGCCAAGTCCTCAAAGTGCACATTTGCATTTAACCTACATCGCATAGTTCGTGCCACTATCACATGATCATCACTTTCGAGTGCATCCAACTCTGAGGTCAGCTAGCCGTAGGCTGCATAAACTCGAATATCCACCAGAATATCTACCAGAAAGTTAACACCGACCGCCTGCCACATGTCATTTGCACTTGATCATTCATGTTCACGCAGTGGTTCAGTAGTCGCGGACGACAACGTCCACAATGTGTCCCATAGCATGCTGGGCCCAGGCAAGTTGACTTGCGTGCAAAGTGCTTTACAATGATAGTAGACTTCCTCTACATAGGCCTATCTCTCCCCCTCCTCACGCATCTGGACACGGACTGAGTCAAGAAGACAGGAGACGGAACCAGGCACAGATGCTGACGGCGCTATAGCAACCCGTCTACGCTAGCCGCGCACGGGCTGGTCTCCAATTTAACGTAACAGATTTTCACACAGAGGGGATGGGCAGCTTAGGTCCCAAATCTTGGGTAAGATCCCAATGTGCAGCCACGCATGCATACTTGATACTGTTGACCTACTGATTTGGTTTCAGTATTTGTGATTAAACTGAAGCGAGTGGCTTAGCTCAGTGCGTTCCCCAGGCGTGTTTCCTATTTACTCCAGCGAGTGGTTAGGCTGCGAACCCATTGTGTTCACTTTATCTCCTAATCCAGCGCGTGGCTAGGCCAGGACAGCGAATGCGTTTATCTTATTGTTTAATTCGCCGTGTGGCTAGGATGTGAACCGAATGTGTTCAAATTACCCTTTTATCCAGCGAGTGGCTAGGCTCCGAAACCAAATGCGTTAACTTTACTTTCTAATCGAGCGAATGGCTAGGTTAGGTGCATTCATATCTGCGTTGCGGATGGTTTCCTGTACACCTTTACCTTCGCCTTGGTCTTGCGTCCGTGCTTCCTATTCGTCGACTGGATCTCCTGCGCTCACTCGTGCTTAGCGGCTAGTTTTCACGTCATTCAAATTTTTGTCGTGCTTTACTCTCGCCTTTTTTCTTACATTTCCGCGGTCCAATTTTTGGCGTGTACGATGTCCCCCCCCCCTCCCCCTTAAAAACCCCTCTTACCACCACTCCCGTTTTAGAGGCAACTATGGTAGAGCTGCCTCAGGGAGGGCTGCATAATTCGATCTGATCCCCACTTGCGTCATAGTACTGTAGAGGCCACACAGAGAAGGAGCCAAGAATACGCTCCGCACTCATGTGAGGGGTGCCCATTCCGTGCCTCCGGGGGACAATGGGGGAAGGATTCATTTGTGGTGCATGGATTGGCGGGGAGAGGTGCAGTGATGAGCTTGGTCTGCGATGTTTTACGACGGCACACGCTGCCCACGCAGCGCCTTCGTTAAGAGACGCGCGCGAAGATCTAGAGGCAGCTGTGAGTCGAGGTCTCGGATCGCCATCGGCTTTCTGTAATGAATAAACCCCTCCTAAACGGGACTGAGCCATGGTATTTGCGTGGGTAGTGCCCACCCATTATTCTGGTAGCCACATGGGAAAGGCCGAAAAAGAGGGAAGGAGGGGGCAAGAGGGATGAGAAGGTGAGTGAAAGGTGAACGATGAGTAAGAGAAGGGAGGGTATGGGTGAAGGGGAGAAGGTGGGGGAAGGTGGATTATCCTCCGTGATCATATAACCACGCAAACCTAACAGACGCTGTGCTATTAGGCATGGCCGTGATGGCATCAGTAACGACGCTGGTGTGTGGCACGCGTAGAAGGGCTGTCTATCCCTGCCAGTCACTTGCATGCAATCTCAGCGTCAGGTGCCTGACGCGCCTGGAGAGTGAACTGGTGCACCGAATAAGGTGAGTGAAGTCGATTCTGGGGACTCAACCTTTATGGCACTTCAACGAATTTTGTCACTATAAGCAACCTGATAGAATTCTAAGCCATCAGGGTGCACTAAAAGGCGCGGCTTCGAAGCCAGTCAGTTGACAGGATAACTCGGTTCTCTCGGGCTCAACAACTGCTTCGCTTCGTGGCCTCCGCAGCATTTCTACTCGAATGGGAATTAAACCACCCCTTTTCGCGAAAACTTGACCCATTATGAGGGAGCACTTCGTGCGAGACACACCTAGACGGTCTGTTCAGCCTTGTCAGCCGTTATGTCTGAGTCTGCCTCCGGACCCAGGTGAGTGAGGGAGGATGCGGGACAAGTCCGCTATCATTATTAATTAATTCGTGCGCCTGAGTCCACCACTCTGTGGTAGACATCTTCATTCGCGACAGTCAAACTGACAATGGCACTAGTTGTCAAACTTGGGGCAGCAGTCTGAACAATGCTATAAACAACGGCGAGTACGGTTATAGCAGTCGAACTAGTTTTAATAGTATAAAGTGCTAGTTCCAGCAATAGTAGTATTAGTATTGTGCGGGGGGACAAGATCACGTGCACAGCCATTCCGGCTCACACTTAAAGAGGTACACTACTGCCTAGGGGACTCTGGTGGATAGCAGTTTATTCTGGTTGTAAAAAAGGAAACCTACGCGGCATTGACACAACTTATTTTTCATGCCTATCATTTCCTAGTGGTGAGACCAAGTCGGCGCGAAAACTGAATTTGTGCCGAGGTGCCAGACAAACTTTTGCCTTTAACTGCTTGGTCGCTTTTCCTCACCTGTGTTTTTTGTTTTAACGCAATCGAAAACGATGCTGGATGGGAGCGCGTGCTTGGCCGACCACTGTATGAGGCTGCCTGACTTCTGAATATTAACTGTACCTGCCTGGTGTCTTTTCTGCCGATCTCAGCCGGACTGGTATGTTATCGATGGTGTCAGACTCTTAATTTATAAGCCTTTCCTCCAACAGGGAGATACCGGAGTCGTGAGTTATTGCGTCAGCGAAAAGCTCATACGCCACAGTGACTCGTTTGACACATTGCCACCGCATACGTGTGTCGCTTATGAATGATCCCTATGCAAAAACCGAAAAAAAGCTATTTGACCTACCTGTCGAGGGCTGTGCTGCCATTGTGTCTCTTACCTGCTCGTGGAGCTACACAACAGAATCTGTGTCAGCCTGCGGTTAGCCTGGCACAACCAGCCACTTTCAGCGACCGTTATTCTCACTTCAAGGCTTTTCGGCCCCTAGCACATCAGACACCCACAATTTGCCATTTTCTAGTTAGACAAACAGAGCTAAGGTCTATAAAGCTCGGTTCCTTTGCGCAAAGTCCTCTCAATGCCCGTGAGAACCCAACTCTGCCCTACGGAATGCATAAAAGTACTCAAAGTAAATGATACTTTAATTGCGTAAAGTGCATACGAATACGTACACTAGTGCAATACGTAACGGCCATGCGTACATACCGTACTTACAAGTGGCAGAGTAGCCTGCCTGTTTAAAACAACTCACGCATGCGGGGGGGGCTAGTCAAAGTAGGAGCCGAAAACGCTGACACAGGCGAATCGCTCAGAAGACTTGGATGAAACGCTCACACAGTCATCCCCGCATTCAGGCGAGGCGAGACACTGGCTGCCGTAAATGAGTGTTGGTGGGTTCTGGCCCACGTCGCCAATTACGCCATGAACCACGATCCGGTGCCGCGGAAAAAATCGACATTGCATGCGCAGAACCTCATTTTTCACTTTGGAAAGGCCAGACATCAGCGCCATGTCGGGGGTGGCGCTGACTGTATCCTCCAGGATATCTTGCACAAACTGCTGCAACAGATCCCGCACTGCCTGCCGGTGCGCAGAAAAGGCATACTTTGGGGAGGGCACGAGTTGGTAGGTGTTCGGCCGTTTAACTATTGCACCCTTCTTGCCGACTTTCGGGGCGGCCACAATGCTCTCAGGTCCCGGCATCCTGCGCTTATCGATTGGCCGACTTTGAATGCCGTCGCAGCGTACTGGTCAGGTTGAGTGCGGATCAGACGAAGAACTGTGTCATCAGGTTAGGAGGACTGAGACCTAAGACAGTGGTTAGAGGCGTTGGACTTCTAACTAATAGGTCGCGAGTTCGAACCCCAGGTGTTCCACACCTCGGGGTTGCGTATGACTGGCTGACGACAGCCAATAAGCCAGAAATGGCCATGCCAACCTCCCTCGTCTTTGCCATTAATAAAATGTTACCTAAGACGGTGTGTGCTTGGATGAGACGCATTCGCAGCCTCACTTCAAAGATAGTTCTACGGTGATCTCGCGCGCAGACTGACGACGGTTGTCTCCTTCAATTATTTTTCCACCTCCATTCTGTTCTCCATGACACGACGCCGAGTTGCCTTCGGAGCATTGAGTAACCCACCTCTTGACTGGACTCCAGCTGCAAGATCCTCTATGCTTACAGAGGTTTCTGTCGTCGGTAAGACAATAAACCCTATGAAGAGCGTCCTGATGCCGACTGCGGAAAACTACAAGTACAGTAGATGTGCAAACTCATGAAATTTTAGCAGAAATTCTGAAATGCGTTTTCGACTCGGAAAGATTACTCAAGTAGGGTTGTACTATTAATAACCGTGCAGCGTAGTACAAAGGTACTCCAGTTACTTCAGGATGCCAGCTTTGGGATGAACTCTTTCCGGCAGCCTGCAAAAACTACATTCTGCGAAAAATGACTACTTAATAGGCATGAATTTTTCCCATTGATTTTCGATGCCTCAATAAATCCAAAGATACTTCATGGAAAACACGCATAAAAATATTCATTATCTTACTCAGTTGGTAGAAAAGTACGTCTTTTTCAAATTTTATGCCTGAAGGAAAGGCGTAATTCGTTTTTTAAGTTTCTAATTATAAGATTTTTAAGATTAAAATGCTTCTGCATTTACTAATGCTGCTTGTATAGTTTACGATATGGCCCAAATCGACCGCTAAATTTTATGAAGCCCATATAATGTCCTTTTAATAGCTCATAGAAATGTACGATTTTCCATACACGGAAAATTTACTGCTTGCAGTTTGGCAAACCTCGAATGTAAGTGTAACGTCAGGTCGGGTTCGAACTGATTTGGGGATTGAACAAGTTTTTGAAAATCGAATTATACCCGTCGTACAGGCATAAAATTTGAAGCAGACGTGACTTTCTATCAGATGAGAAGGAGGATAAGTATTTTTATGCATACTTTCCATGAAATATATTTGAATTTATAATAGCATCGAAAATCAATGAGAAAAATCCTTACCAATTAAGTAGTCATCTTTTGCAGAGTGCAGTCTTTGCAGGCGGTCGATAAGAAGTTCGTTTAAAAGCCGGCACCCAAAAATGACTGAATTATTATCGGACCATGCTGCCCAGCGACTAATACTACAGCCCTACTTAAGCAATCTTTTCGAGTCTAAAACGCATTTCAGAATTTCGGTTAACATTTCATGAGTTTGAGCATCTTCTTTACCACCGGCCACCTCGGAAGTCCCCAAACTGACCAAACACTGGAAATTATTGGCGTCTCGTCTGGTAAAAATCGATCTTTATGTCGGGATCCGCGCAGAAGGAATGTTCAGCGGGAATAACGAGTTTGAGGGAGGGGGAGACACGCCAAACGGGAGTCAAAAGTGACGATGCAGAAAATCACCCTCATGAGGAAAGTACAGACATCGTTCAGTTCAGCTCTATTAAGGTTAAGATATATGAACGCCTTGGAACCCCCATTGCCTTCATGCTGTCTGAGAAAAGTGCCTATAAGTAGAAAATTGAAGGAGAGATTGGTTACATGAGCTCTCAACTGTGCCTTGTTTAATTTCCGAGGAATTTAATGCGCGAACTTGGAGTAAATCTTTCGAAACGGGCCTTTTCAGGCACGCTCCAAATTTTGATATGAATATTTGAGCTGAAATCCATCAGCTACTGCGGAATAACCGCTTAATATTCACAAACCGCCAACAGGCAGCCAGTAGTATAGAACTGTGCAATGATTTACCGTACTAACAACACAGGTATTAGCTAAAAGCCCAGACACGCGTGTTTCGCCGATCTTATGCCGCTGCTTGACACAGCTGCGAGGGATTCAGCTCGTCAGTGGGTTCCCCAGTTGTCCCCGTGTTTTCTGGTATAGGAACACCAGTTTTAACTTGCCTTGTTTAATTTCCGGGGAAATTAATGCGCAAACTTGGAGTAAATCTTTCGAAACGGGCCTTTTCAAGCACGCGGCTATTCTGCAGTAGCTCAAATATTCATATTAAAATTTGGAGCGTGCCTGAAAAGGCCCGTTTCGAAAGATTTACTCCAAGTTCGCGCATTAATTTCCTCGGAAATTAAACAAGGCAAGTTAAAACTGGAAAACACAGAAAACCAGAAAACACACAGGGACAGCTGAGGGACCCACTGACGATCCGAACCCCTCGCAGCTGCGTCAGGCAGCGGTATAAGATCGGCGAAACACGCGTGTCTGGGCTTTTAGCTAATACCTGTGTTGTTAGTACGGCAAATCATTGCACAGCTCTCAACTGTCTTCTAGTCAACAAATGCTTAACATGAACATCTACTCACTCGTTGAAAGTAGCGTGGATGTATGTAATGTCGGTGATTGGTCATGTAGGTGCGCACGTGGCTGGTAATTGGGAAGCTTGAACCGCGAAGCACGTGGAAAACGCAGTCGGCAGGACACGGGAATAGGAACCTCCCCTCTATTCCAGGGCTTTGCGCTACTTCCCTGAGGAGATGAGGATCAGCACTACGATTTGTGGTAGAGTTGGTTTTAGCGTTAGGAAACTGGAATTCCACGTAAGGCCACCTGCGTTACCGGGGGGAGGTTCCTATTCCCGTGTCTGATCGCGCCACCTTTGTGCCCTTTTCGTTGCGTACAGGATAAACCAATCAATCTCAAGCCATGATGCAGATGACTAGTATGCCACATCAAGCTGGAAGTAAAAATATATGAACCAGGAGGAGGAGGAGGA